ATGTCGTAAAATTGTACATTAATTAACATCAATAGCCATGCTTTAATACATATAGGGATCCAACAAATTAAATTTTTTGTGCAACATGCCGATAAGGAGATTACATAACATAATAATGTCAGATACAGGATGAACATCATGCACAAAATTTCAGACCCAAATACTAAGAATACGACATAAATTAATCAATTTAAAATTTTAATTAATTAATAATAAATATTTGCAGTATTTTAAAATTTGGAAAATATCAAATTAATAGAAGATGTGAACTTGATATTTATAAAGGGATTAAACTTTTTTAAATTATTTATTATTTGGTTAACGTCATATAACTTTGTAAGGCACATGAATAAAGAGTAAAATTTCCCTTACAACAATAAGCTATATGTTACGAGGACAGAACATTTATATTTTATGTCTTTATTTGGTATAATATTGATTTTATGGAAATCTGTACCCGAAGCACTTCTTATGTGCCAATAAAATGGTGATTGCTTCGAAATTTATGTACGTAGTGGTGCAGTTTTCATTCTGAATTTTTTAAAGGGTTTCAACGGAATTCAAGATTGACGTCAAATATTTTCAAATACCGGAATTAGATCCAACAAACAAAATTGATTATCAGGCACAAATCTACAAATTAAGTTTGTAGGAATTTTATATCTTTTATTTGAAAGGGTTTTTGATCGTGTTTATGTTTAAAAAAAAGAAAAACTCAAATCAGTTTTTTATACTATTCCATTATCAATAATTTAAGAGAAACTTTTGGTTAGGGTTTCAACCAAATTACAGAATACATAAAAGCAACTATAATTTATATCTTAACCTGATTACAGCATATTATAGCATGCATTAAATTAGTTTTTACATAAAGCAACTATAATACATAAAAGCAATTATATTATGGCATGCATTAAATTGGTTTTTGGTTTAGGATTATATACCCAGAACTAATCCTTCATCCATCTCGAATTTGATGTGTCTCTGATATAGGAAAAAGATGAGAGGATAACCGCAATAAATGAGACTGTTCTGTTCTCTATCTGGGAAGTTATCAGAAGTTACGAAGAGTGATCGTGCGTATGGGTTAGTGCCTGATGGGATAGCATATAACCAACTTTCTAGATGAGACCAGAGACCTCTCAATAAGCTTATTTAATAACTTGACCCATCACTGTTTATTAAAAGAATAACCCCAAGTAATATTTTCTATCAATTGGTCAATAAAAAAAAATATAATTAAATAATAATAATAATTGATATTATAAATTATAAATAATTGATTATTTCAATCTACAATAATAATAATAGTAATCTAACACATGAATAGATAGTTTTGAAATCCTGATTTAGTAGTGGTAATACGTGACTTTAACACTCTTATTAAGAATTTACGCAGGGAAAGAATTGAATAAAAGTATTTTTTATTTAAACTTTTATCGTATCAAATGTTATGTTTTTATTTTGCATGTAGATGTAATTCCATTGCTTTGATTTCTTTACAAGTGTCTTCAGAACATTACTCCGTATGATTCATATTTAAATCAGAATATTGACATTTGATTAAGGAAAATTTGGGTTTGGTCTCAATCTTCTGATCGCCAAATTTCAACGAATAGACTACGTTGATACATGTTTTTAGAATTAATATAACGAAATTGAAACTTTCTTAAAAATTGCTATTCGAGTATCAATTCAAAGAAATTATGACTATTAGTACTCAAACGTTGAATTGAAAGGAGTTTTAAAATATAAAGACAACAAAGTAAAATAACTAAAATAAAATTTTATTCAAAGAGAGGATATAAATAGCAAAACTTAAAAAGTGGTTCAATAAGTAAGGATTTTTTTTCCTCATGTCTTCATTATTTTTTTTTTTATCAACATCAACAATTAAGTTTTATTCCATTAAGTAGACAGCTATATAGATCATATAATTATTGAACTCAATCAAAAATTAAATTTTTTATGTTTTTTCTTTTTATATTAAATTAATTTAAGTATATTGCTATAAGTGACGATCAAATTTATTTAATTAGTCAAAGTTTAATTTCTTAATTTATTTATCTTTTTGACTTATTCAAGACTTTCAATTTTTTGAAGTTTTTGTGCTAGGATAGGTATGATAATTCAATAATTAATAAGACTAGGTTCACATTATATTTTTATTTTTTGATTAATATATTCGGTTAAAGACTTCATGTCTTATTCAAATATTAACTTAACAATTATATAAATAATCGTGAAAGCATTAAATAAATATGCTTTATTTTTTTTATCATAATTTTATACTAAAAAAGACCAAGACAAATGTCATTTTATTAATTTAAAGATTTTACAGATAATTTTTAAAATTTTAGAAATTAAAATGTTTGACTTATATCATTTAGAAAATTAATTCTTAAATTCAATTCAATGTTATAGTAAACTATTGAAATTGAGCAAGTTTACTAAAACTTACTATTATTTACTAGTTATTTTTATATTTTAAAATTTTTTCATTTATTTATTATTTTTAGAAATTTTATGTTATATTTTCCCCTTAAATATCATTTAAAATTAATAACTCAAAATTGTAAGTTTATATATTATTGAATTACAATTAAATTATTGTTAGTTAAATGTCACTATAGTTAAAATATTCATAAAAGTATTAACTACCTAAAATAAATTCAAGTAAATCTAAAATAAATAATTGACCAATATATAGCGTTAACTGTAACTCTTTGCTCTTAGAAGAGTCAATGATTGTTTTCCAGTAAAAATATGTTTAATTACACCTAATAGACTAATAGTTTTTAAAAGATATTATTAATAAATAAAATTATATTTTTTGGCCCAAAGCTATAAGTCTAACGACCTTACGATTGGACCGGCCTAACTAATGTCTAACAAAGCTGCAATTATATTCCTTGTCAAGAAAGGCGATTTCATACCCCTCATATCTAAAACTGCATTTATAAACTTAGAATCAGTGGATTTTTTTTTTCCTCCCTTCGGTAATACTTTTATTATTTACCTAATTTGGATCTGAAATATTTTAAAAATTAATTATATGATAGTATTTTTGGGTCACATATATAATATTTAAATATGTTAGAGTTATTATCTAATTAGCTAAAATTATAAAGTAATCTATTTAATATTAAATTTATAGTTAAAGGCATAATTATTATGAAAAGTTATTATGTACATACCATAAGTAATATTTTAATTTGATGAGGAGCAAAATTTCACTTTATCCTATATATATATATATATATATATATATATATATATATGTAATAATAAGAAATTACATAAAATAATTTATGAGAATAAAGTGTTTTTAGATTGGTTAGGTAGAACGCAAGTCTCCAAAATTCAATATTGTAGGTTCAAATCCTACATAACATGGTTCCATTATTATTAAATTAAGAATTACATTAAAATAATTGAACAACAATTTAAAGTATGAATTTTTTTATTCTCAGTTTTAAAATTAAAACAAATTATAAATATACAGTTACAAGTAAATCAGCTAAAGTAATAGAAATTAAACCATATATATATATATATATATATATATATATTAAATAGAATCTAAATATCTAAAATTTGGATTAATAATATATATCTATATTCTATATATATATAGTAGAAAATAGAATAATTAAAAAATTAAAAAGAAAAAATATGTTTATTAAATAAACAAATTATTCGTAATTAACATAATTATATTAATATAATATAGTTAAATATTAATAAATAATGTTAATAAATACTAGAATCAAATAAAAAAATTAAAAAAAAAAGAATTTGAAATGCGAGATCTAAAAACATATCTTTCCGTGGTACAAGTAATAAGTACTATGATTTGGGACTTTGACAAGTCTCTTAATAAAGATCAATCGTTTTTTTTTAATGCATTGATATTTCCTTTTTTTCATTCTAGTTATTGGTAGATCACATACCCACTATTAATCTCATCACCTTCATTATTCTTAATGGCAAATTCAGTTACGCTTTTGCATGCTATTTTTATCATGAATTGGGGTATGAATTTATAAGAATTGATATATGATTATGCTGTAATTTTAATTTTATATGAGGTATAAGCATGTGATTAGGCATAATTGTTTGTTAAAAAGCCTACAATATTATTTTCGATAAAAGTACAATTTAACTTGACAAAGTCTACTTAGAAATAATACAAATAATAATTTTTTAATAAAATAATATGATAAATTTGCTAGAAAAATATTGAAGTAGCATGTAAACATGTTTTTTAAATTTAATGACTTAAATAATGATACTTTTATATTATCATTTTTGAATTGTGATCTTTGTAAATGATATCAATTAAAACTGAAATAAGACAAAAAAAAAAAAAAAAACTTCTACAACACTATTTAAAGTAGAGATTACTTATTTATATTTAATTTATTGACTTAAAAATTCTTTTTAAATTTTTATTGTTTAAATTTTAATATAACTATTAAATCTATCAAATTAATTGTTTAAAATATAGAAAAAATATTTCAACTAATTTCAGAAACAAAATGAAAGAAAATAAATATTAAAGAAGAGAATTAAGTTTCACATGAATAAAAAAATTTACTTTCGTAACAATTACAATTATGTTTTCAAAAATATTTTTAAAAGATTCATTCTAAATATTAAAAATTTAAAAATTCTTAAATTATAAAAATTATAAATTTTAAAATTTATTATAATAACTTATTTTATTAATTTATTTATAAATCATATAATAGCGGAGTTGTGATAGTCATCACCTGTCACCTATCTTGAAATTTAGAACCGAAAACTACCTTAACCCGCCTATTTGGAAACCCTAAATCTTAAATGCGGAGCAGAAACTAATATCACACCCCTTCTACTTCAAGACATTTCATTACTTTTTATTAGAAAGTATGTCAAATCAATGGGACCAGCGTATACTAACTATGGTGAAGTCTCCGTCTCATCTTCTAGTCCACATACCATGCCAGTAACTTCATTCCATTCTAGCTCTTGTTAGCGCAAGAAATGAAGCAATAACAAAGCAAATCAAAGAGTAAGAACCCAATACTGAACACCTTTTTTGTGTTTTCTGTTTGATATTATGCGTATGACTTCAATTACTGAAAACCACCCCAGTTGAAGGTGCCATGGGAAATTCCCATGCTAAAAAGCGTGACCCTAAAATTTCCAGAAACCTTGAAGAGAAAATTCCCTCCCCCTTGTCGTATTCGTTGTCATCAAATTCATCAGAAACTTCATCATCCACATCTTTCAAGATGCATCCTCATAGTTCCGGGAAACTATCCCCCAAACAAAAATATGCTCTGATTCCTGATAACTTCACTACCCTTGACCAGGTTTGTTGCGCTTCCATTATTTTTCTTTTCTTCATTTTCTTCAATTAACAGACTCAAATTATGTGATTGTATGTGCGTTCAACATTTAGCTGCTTCTCTTCTTGATTCTTCTTCTTCTCCGAATCGAAGTCGAGATAGATGCCTGTGTTAATCAGTTCGAATTGCAGAGTTGAGTCAAGAAACAAAAGTTTGGTAGCAGTAGATAATGGATATTTTTTTTTGTTTGCTAGTGGGGTACTGAAAATGAAATATGAACTGAGATATTTTATCTTGACAAAAAGGTTAACTAAGTTTCTTATGTTAATTATAAAAATATCAATTCAATACTTTATTTTAAATAACTTCTACCGTCCAATGTATTAATTATTTCAAGTCTTTGATAAAAATGAAAATGTATGAAGTCTTACGTAACTTTTTGAAACTTTTAACTATACTTATATTAAATTTATTTTTATTAATTTTAATTTTCATAAATTATATTTGTATTATTAAGCTGTATCGTGATATATAATATTTTTAATTAGAATATATGATATCAATGTACATTATGTAAACAAAAAAAAAAAATTATATAATACAAAACCACTACATTTCCATGGCCACAGTCAAACACGGCCAATTTTTAAATTAGAAAATGTTATTTAAAAAAATTATTTCAAAATTTTCTACTTTTAAATGAGCAATTAAAATAAAATGAGGATAGCGGGATTTGACAGTGAATCCATGATCGTGTATTCTAGCTGAGTAGCGGTCCTATAAAACACAATAATTTCTGCACATGTTTCCAGTTGAGCAAAGGTCAGTCAACGCGTTTAGTCTTTAAAAAGTTATACATATATATAGATATATTATTTAATTTATAAAAAATAATTTAAAATATTCTTTCTTTATTTTTATAAATTTTCCAAATTTTTACATGAAGAAAGTATTTAATATGTTTTATATTTTTAACACAATAATAAATAAATATTTTTATTTAATCTTATTTTATAAAGTAATAAATAATTATTAAAAATAAAAAAAATTGATTATAAAAATTAAGTAAATTACACTTTTTTTATTCTTAATTTAACGTTTTTATAGTATTTTTCTAGTTTTTAATAAATAAATGTGTTATAAAAAACATATTAAAGAATTTATTACCAGTATTTCTCTTATAACGAATGTTGATTAAAATGTTAATCATAAAAATATAAATATTACTAGTATATTTTTATGGCCTAAAATGCAATTTTCTTAAGAAATTTATTTGTTAACTTTCAAGTAATGTATTTAGAAGAATAATTAATAAAACTTAAAAATTAAAATTTAATAAATATTAAAAATAAAAAAACTTTATTTATTATTAAATATTAGGTACATAATAAAAATTTATTTAACTAATGTTTTAGGAAAAAAATGTCAACAATTTCTTAGAAAAATAATTTGCAAACAATATAAAATATATTGTTTTTATTGATATTTATTTATTTCATTCCTTAACGAATTTCATTACAACTTTTGTTTAGAAGGTCTGAACAATAAATAGGTTTAAATATATTTTAAATTCTATATTTTGTGAATTTATAATTTTTGCTCTTTTGAATTGAATTTTTTATTTATTTTTATATATTTTAGCAAATTATTACTTTTAGTTATTTTATCTTATGGTGTTTTAGTTAAAACTTGACACTTAATAGAGTGCCATATAAACTAAAAATAAAAATTCATAACAAAATAGAAACTAAAAAGAAATTAAAGAAACTAAAACTAAAAGTTTAGCCTAATATGTAGCATTGTACATTTTTTAAAATTAAGACTTTAATTCAAGCCACTGTGATATTTGTTCGTGACTCACGTGCACACATTAAAAAGTGTAATTTTTCATATTATTTTTGTGGGACCACGTGCTGATGGAACAACGTGTGTTGAATCCAACTCATAAAAGCATTTAAGCAGATAACTGGAACGGATAAAGGCGCTTTTCTATGTATGGTTTTTTTTCTTTCTTTCTGAAATTAAAAAAAAGAAATTTTTGTCGAAATTACAAAAATATAATTTTTTTGAAACAATTGTCATTTGACGATTATTGGTAGAAAATTATTAATGACAATTTTTGATTATTTTTTGATATTTTTTAATGTTTAATTATTATTTTAAAAATTATTATTGATGATTTTTAATTTTTAATATATTTTTAAAAAATTGCAATTTTTAACACTTTATCATTTTTATCTTTTACCTTAAAATTTTCAATCTACACCAAAAATCGCTATTAACGTTTTTTAAATCTTATATTTTTATAAATTTTTAAAAAATACCATATTTTTATATACATGATTTATAAAAATCATATGTAAAAAATAATCTACAGATAAATATCCTTTTATTTCATCAAATATTTTGACTAAATATTTCCTAAAAATAGATTTTTTAATTAATTTTTATAAATTTTTGTCTATTTTAGTCTTATAAAATTTTATTTTTATAAATAGCCTCTATCATTAATTAAAAGTTCTCTTGGAGAAAAATAAAATAATATTATACATAATATTTATCATGTAAAATATTAGTTTTAAATATATCAAGATTAAATAAGTAATTAGTCTCTAAAAATATATATTTTTAAATTAATTATTATTTTGATTTTAATATTAGAAAATATCTCTTAAAAATATTCGATTAGGTAGTTATTTAAAACTTAAAATATTATTTTTCATAAAGAATTTTTAAAATGAGTAAAATAAATTATATTTATAAGATAAAAAGACTTACTTCATTGTATTTCTTGGTATTTTCTTTTCAGCATTTTTTTTTTCGAGTAAATTATGATCACAGTTTATTATATATTTTCTCGTATCAAAAACATCATAAAGCACCTTTTTTATAGTCTAAATTATTCTTGATTATTATTTATTATTTTTCTCTTATCATGTCTACTTTTATTTTGAACAACAGAAATATGCATTTTTTTTAAAGTAGTAATAAAAGTATAATAATTAAAAAAAATTAAAATATTACTTATAAATAGATTTTAAACAATGAAATACTTTAATATTTAATATAATAATGAAAAATTAAATTATTTAAAATTTTACAAAACTAAAAAATATATATAGAAACTAATTCTAAAATGATATATTGTTTAGGAGATTGGTTGTTTATTTAAGTATAACGTTTGAAATTAGCATTTTAAGTGACAACTATTTCATAAAATATTGTTTACTTAGTGATTCTTTGGGATTATTAAAAATAGAAGAATATAGATTAAAACTGATCAAAACATTTTAGAGACTAATTTTAAAAAGTAACGAGACTATTTCAAGATTTTAAAATTGAAATGAAATAAAATACAACTTTTACATTTTATAATTTTTTAATAATATAAATTAATTTTTTGGTACATTTTAAAGTCATTTTTTTTAAAATTTAAACAAATGTTTTTTTATTTTTTATTTATTTTTAAAAACTTATCTTAGTAATATTTGATTAATTCTTTTAAATAAAATTGTTTATTTAATATGAATAAAATTTTAGAATTTTTGATTAAAAATACCAAATTATTGTAGTTATTTTTATTTTATTCGTAATAGTTAACTATTTTAAATACAAAACTAGCTATTGCACATAATTTATATTTTTTCTTGTAATTCTATTAAAAAATTATTTTATACAACTCAAACAAAATATATTATTCTAAAATCACTTTTCACCTAACACATCAAATATTAAACTTATTTCATATAATTTTATCACAAAAATCGATCATAAATATAATATATTCTTTTAGCTAACTTAAACACAAAGACATGTTATTTTATAATTATTTCTCACAAAACATATTAAAAGTAGAATTTATTTTATATAATTAACTAAATACTCAATCAATTGTTGAAATAATATTTTTTTTATAACTAATTAAAGCACACCCTTAAAAATTGTTAATATGAACTTTTAGCATTGAGGAGAGCCCGTAACTGTGTTTTTACAGCTGTACAACATACTCCAAAATTTCCCAGTAAAAGCATCTACAAATTGGCCTTGATATTGAGAGTCTCTAATATTGAGTTTCCAATAACCTTCGGGAATATGGGTGGGTCCATTTCAGAAGAGCTTCACTTCCATTCAAACCAGAAACAGTATAACCACTGTTACTGAAACCTTTCAGAATGAGATCCACATGGGCTTTGATTCGCTGGACCTGCACATGACTCGAACAGATCACTGTGTTAAATACAAAATAATATCTTGAATCTTGTACTTAAAAAACTCTTGTTAGATGTTCTTGACTTAATAGAATGGTCTCCTATAAAAAGATATCTGGTTATCTACTATTTAGACATAAGAAAATTACAAAAAATTGAATTGATTGATATTGGGCAGCTCAACTGTCCAAATAGTACATTGACTCTGAGCAAAGCCTAATTTAATTCGACTTGATTTATTTTCACGATTATACTTTCGTTTTTTACTTAAATTTATCCATGGACTCTTATGAAATTTGGGCCAAATTCACAATATACTGCGAAAAGTATAGTATGTTAATGCTTGATATTGTTTTCATCATTGAATATCCATATGTATACATAGACTTTTATAAAACAGAGGACAATATATAAATAGTTTTTAACTTTCGAATTGAAATTATCATGATAGTTCACTTGTACTTGGATAGTTTATGCATAGTCTAGTATAGTGTAAACGATACCTTGGATAGTATTTTCGAACATGTTGAATGGGGTGATATAGATGTAGTTCTGGTTGGGGATAAAAGCAATCAATTTAGAGGGGACCAAAGAAAAATTTGTTAGTGTATTATCATCTCCTACTTTCGCGGCTTTAAATCTTATAAATTTCATATTACTCAACTCATTTTCCAAATGACACCAAAGATTATCTTAATTAAACTAAGAAATATTTACTAGTGAATTTTGGTTTAGTCACCTTAATTACGTCTAGCTACTGGCAAATGTGCCTTGACAATTGGGTTTCTTTAAAAACTTCGATGTTTTTAACCCTTATACAGGTTACAACTGCATTGAGGAATGAAGGTTTAGAATCATCCAATCTTGTCCTTGGAATTGATTTCACAAAAAGCAACGAATGGACTGGTAAGTAGTACATTGAGAAAAATTAACTCAGTATGAAATCCACTGCAATCCGGATAAATTGAAATTAAGCTACAATTGGGAACAAAAATTAGCATGAAAATGATTTCTGGTTTTACATGAAGTATAGGATTTGGTTATTATTTCCTTTTGAAATGATTGCTTTTTGAATGTTTGCCACAAAGCCAATGCATCCATATTGTTATTGAAGGAAGAATCTCATTCGAAAATAGAAGCCTGCATGCTATTGGAAATACACCTAATCCCTATGAGAAAGCTATCTCTATTATTGGCAAGACTCTGGCTCCCTTTGATGATGACAACTTGATTCCTTGTTTTGGCTTTGGTGATGGTAAAGTCTAATCCTTCTAGCAAAACATGTCTAAATAGTTTTTCCAATATTAACATGGTTCGACTTCTGTTTCTAAACAGCCACCACACATGATCTTGAAGTGTTTAGCTTTCACGGTGATAGTTCATCTTGCCATGGTTTTGAGGAGGTTTTGGCTTGCTATCAAAATATTGTTCCAAATTTGAGACTTTCTGGTAATTTCGTCTCAGCTTATAGTGTTCTTATTTCAATCACTTAGCTCAATATGCTGCAAATAACTAATTGCTGCTTAAAGATTGTTCTGCCTGTTGAAAATCATTTGATTCATTTCAGATGATTTAAAATACAAATGGAAGGTTTGAATAAGCTGACCGATCACAGTCCATAGTTTTGTAATTTTGGAATGGAGCAGCTTTTAAAGCTATTCAACTGTTTGGTATATGAAATTAATGAATTTTTATTTAACTTACATAAATATTCCACATTAGAAAAACAAAAAACGTTTCTTTTCTCACACATTGTTTCAAGTCAATTTTGTATTATTATTTAACAATAAGATGTCACTACAAAAGTATTTTCTTTTTATTTGTGAAAAAAAATTGGAATGTGTACAATGTTTCAAGTACTTCATGATTATTTAAATTTTTTCTTTCTCTGTGATCCTTTGAATAACGGTTGCCTTTTGCTCGCTTTATTACCGATTTTTTAATTTTTCCAGAATTAGAAAGGATAAATTTAATAAAATAATAATTTTACAAAATAAATAACAATATGCTAGAAAAACATATTGTTATTCTTAAGTAGCATTTGGCAAAATATGTTACAACAAAACATTATATAATAAAGGATGATTCTAAATTCTTGAATTTTTTTTCTTATGAAAAATGTTAGTAACATGCTCTTATGGAAAAAGTTAAAGCACTTGTTTTATAAATGCTTCATTTTTAAAAATTACTTTGACTTTTATAAAAAATAAAATAAAATGTATTTAAATAAGTATGTTATTAGCATTTCTTATTGGTGCATTTTCAAAATGGATCAAAATAGAAGTCAAAGTTAAAGAGTGGTACATCATTAGTTTCATTGAAGAGCGTGTAAGAAGCAAAACAGAGGATAGCATTTTTGCTTTATTAGTTAACATGCCAAAGGAGCATTGAATCATCAATCTCATCTCTCCTAGAAGCAACGGCGACTAGTGATTCCTAGTTTTATAGAATTGAGGCATGGAATTGAAATTCCATTCTGGTTTTTATTTATTTGTATTAACAAATAAAGAAAAGCTCATTTTATGGAATAAATCATAGAATGGAATCATCAATAACACCCTACATCAAGCATAACCTTAATAAACTTAAGACTAGAGTCATTGCTAAAGAAATATTTGTATTTGGTTTGAAGGACCAACCTCTTATGCTCCGGTAATTGAGGCTGCAATAGACATAGTTGAGAAAAGTCATGGACAATTCCATGTGCTAGTTATTGTCGCAGATGGCCAGGTATATAATGTTATCTCTGTGTATGTATGTATACATGCAAGCATGTGATTCTCATATTTGTATGATGTTCAATTTAAAGGTAACAAGTAATGGCGGCACTCAAGATGGAAAACTCAGTCCTCAAGAAGAGAGGACAATCAACGCAATCGTTGAGGCAAGGTAGATATGACAAACTGATAACTATGCACCAAATGCATATATGATTAATGGTTTGTATTATAAAATGTGAACACTTGAGAAAAAGGAAAAACACAGAGCTGTAAACAAAAATGGATGTTAGCCTTAGCTATTAGAGAAGTATCACTGTCTTGTGTTAGGTAACCCCCATTTAGTAGTTTGTTTAAATAGATTACCTAGTTAGTTAGGAGGTGAGTTACTTTGAATATGGCTTTGTTGCCTATAAATGAGAAAAAGTGTTGAGAGGAAGATTTTAGCTGGTGATTTGAGAAGAATATGGCCTCTCAAAAGTCCTGGGAATCATTTGCATTCTTTCAGTTAATAGAAACTTTTCTTTTTACAATTCTGATCCAGTTCTATCATCTTGCCTCCAATCAATGTTAGATTAACATAAAACAACATGCTGCTGCATAATCAAACGTTAATTTTCTGATTTCTACAATTTCTGCTGCCAGTTCGTATCCCCTTTCTATTATTCTGGTTGGAGTTGGTGATGGACCTTGGGATGACATGAAGAAGTTTGACGACAAGATACCAACACGTGATTTTGACAATTTTCAGGTATAACATAGCAGCTGAGAATTTAGTCCTGTATTTGTGTAACTTAGATGTTTTGATCCCAGTGCCCAATGTAGAGAGACAAATAATCAACATGTGCCACCTTTTTTTTTTAGCCACAACATTATTTAGTGGTCAAGATTCAGTAGGAACTAATGCTGACTATGAAAAAATCTGGGAACCATAAAAAAATGTTTGAAGGATATTAAATAAAAATCTTGTAATAATATAGGGACTAAACACATTAGGTCTATTTGCATCTTTGCAATCACTTTGTTTTATTAAAATCATTTCTACCTTTTCGTGCAGTTTGTTAATTTCACTGAAATAATGTCTAAGAATACAAGCTCCTCTGAGAAAGAAACTGCTTTCGCTCTAGCTGCTTTAATGGAGATACCTTTCCAATTTAAAGCAGCCCTTGAACTTGGACTACTTGGGTAAGTTCCTTATACTTTGGGTCCAATCTTAAAATCAATATGGTTTTCTTTCAGATGACTATATGTTACAATTTTTTGTTTGATGATTAATTATTAGTTTTCCTTCTATTTTTGTATTTTGGACAAAAGTCGTTCAACAGGAAGGTCAAAGAAAATTGTTCCAAGACCTCCTCCAGCTCCTTATTCTCGGTCTGTGCCACCAGCTCATGTTCTGAGCACAATGCCAGCATTCATAGATGATGAGCGAAACCAAATGGTAAACATATGATTGAAATCTAGAGTGATTCATTACATTCTCCTTTATCATTGCCTAGTATGTTTAATTGTGTACAAGGAAACATAATTTCTTTTTGGGTAAATTAGAAATTATTCCCATGTAGTTTAACACTTATTCAGCTTACCCCCCTATGCATTTTTCTGATCACTAAATCCTCTGAATTTTGAGTTGAAGGGAAAAATGTTAACCCACCAAATTAACCACGGTTGATGACAAGCCTAAAACCATAACTAATGATGTAAAGTTAATAGAATTTAGCAATTTGAACTCATACTTCAAGGATGTTTTAACGACAAGAAAAGAAGTTTAGCAGGTAAGTTGAGAAATTATTAAATTACAAGGGGTAAAGTATGAACAAGTAGAAAAAAATAAAGGGTGGATTAAAGCAAACCTGACACCAAACAGACCCTAAAATGTTTAGGTGTTCTAGCTTAGCTAAGAATATAGTTAGAATACTACTTAAAGGCTTAGATAATCCTCCTCCTGCTATCTAGTTTTTGAGAATGAGTTAATCCTAGTTTTTCTAACATGGTCTTAGAGCCTATGTAGTTTGAATGTTGGGCTATCTCCAAATGTCCACTCTTAAAAATTTCACACACCAGATGAAATTGCCCAACTTTATTAAAATAAAATGCCTAACCACAAACTAATTTTTCTTTTTCTTGGCTAGCAGACTTGCAAGTTATGTACCACTGCCCTTGATTATTGCTCTATTATAAAGTTATTGATGGAACAAGGTTTTCTTTTCTTCTAAGTTTGAAGTTGCAAAATGATAATTTTGTGTGTTTTTACCCAACAAAATTATGTAGGTATGTGCGATTTGTCTGACTAATGGAAAGGATTTGGCTTTTGGATGTGGTCACATGGTAAGTCTAATTAAATTCGGTCTCCTTTTCTCTTCTGTTGTTGGATAGTTAGTTTTATGATTTTTAACAAATTTTGGAATTCAGACTTGCAGAGACTGTGGATCCAAGATAAGCAATTGTCCCATATGCCGCGAGAGGATCACTACTCGCCTTAGGGTTTTTGCTGGCTGATTACATAAGGAAAGTCCTGTACAATATATAATTTGACTGATAGCATGTTTAGTTTAGCTTAATTTTAAAGAATTAATCGCTTATTTTTCAAAAGAAATTGAAAGAAATAAGTGATTATTTCTCTAAAAATACTAAATCAAACATGCCCTGAAAGATAACTGTCTTTTGTACGTTTGATGGTGTGGCTGTTAAGAGTGCTCTAAGAATGGCTATGATGTTGCATGAAAATGGTGACTTGGCTTTGTAGGGATGGTCTAGGAGTAGAAAAATTTGTGCATGGATTTGTAAGCTGTTCAGTTGGCTAATGTCCAAGATGTGTTTGAATTTGAAAAAATTTACTCTAGCCAATGCACAATGTACATATTTTTTAAAGGTGGTTTGATGTTAAAATTTTATGCATTGTTAGAGGAGTGTGAAAGATACCACTGGAATCCCACACATTATTAGTTACATTATGCAAGTTATGAACTTGGATAATTATGCAACTTACTTCCCGTGTCCTTTGATTTTTCTCGAAGACCAATATATGGTTTATTCTACTATTAGCACTCATTTTTTGGGATCAAGCCCCAAATCCTGTCTCTCTTGTCAGCACCATCATCCTCCTTTTTCCCTTTCTTGACACAAACCGCTGGCCACCGTGAGCAACCATCTAAGCCACCAACAACAGTATCCAAACAGCAACTCGCGTGGGCCCAGATTTGCCCTCACCACCATCGGAACTTTCCCAGCCAACAACCACTGAAATATTGTGGAGCTTGTACCCCAGTTCCAAGGTTCTGAATGTGTAAAAGCTTCCAAGTAGTGGGTCTCTTTTATTTTCTTCCCTTAATCGGTCAGTATTTTTTAATACATTAAAGAGTAACAAACTAGCAAGGAGGGATCTAAAAGTCCAATAATTTTGTTTTATTTGTTTTTAGTTTCGTGTTTGGTTTTGGTCAGCTAGGTAGCAAGTCCTGTAATAACTTTGGATTAAAAAAAAAACCAACTAATGATAATAATAAATAAATAAAGATGAAGTATAGGTAAATTACCATTAATATACTCTCCGTTGATAATGTTCTTGTATCCAATGAATAAAATTATAATTCAATTGAGTGATAACAAATATAACATTTTATGTGACACAAAAATGTGGTGTGATCATCTAAACTTATATCTCTAAAGAAGTAGAAAAGAAAACAAGTTTATCATAGTTGCTATGACTCGATATTTTTTTTAAAAAAAAAGTGATACGAGCATCTAAGTTTATATCTCTAAAATAGTAAAAGAGACAATAAGCTTAAATACATTTGCTATGACTTAATATTTGAGAAGAAAAGAGTGATTTGAGCATTTAAGCCCATATCGCTAAGGAAATAGAAGAGATAATGAGCGTACTACAATTGTTATGATCTGAATCCAAGCTTTGCTAGCTATCCACTACATATATTATGTGAAAATTTGAAAACTGATTTGGAAAGTTCACATAATACATATGATCATTCTTAAACTTTCACTTTAAGAGTGTTCACAGGTTGGGTTGGATCGATGTTTTTCTTTTTTTTACATGTGACTTGGACCAATGCAACAAATTATGAATATGTTAGTTATGTCAGGTAATTAGGTTTTTACATAAAAATAAAAATATTTTTATAAATTCTAAAATTAAATAATTATTAAATAAATTAATCTATCAATGTGTATATACAAAATTTTGATTTATGATAAAATAATGAAATTTTTTTATCAAAATTATATTTAAATATATAAATAAAAATATTATAAAATATTTTAATTCTTTTATATGTGATTGAGTTGGGTTGTGTTTAGTTCATCCGATTACAAAAAAACAAACCTAATACTCAACCTATAAATGATAAGATTTGTACTTTTAAAATCTAATTACTCAACCTAACCTATTAGTTTTTGTTTGAATTGGATTGAGTTGATTTGGTTGGTTGAATTTACTCAGCAGCCCATGAACATCTCTACATTTTTTTAAACCTTTACCACACAAAAACCTAAAAAAATAATCTCAATCTCAACATTGACACCAAGAACTAACTTAAAAACTTCTCACTCCTTTCATAGGCCAAAAACAAGATCCTTAACTAAAACTAATCACATCTTAGGAAGGTGGATGCACCGCCAAAATCTTCAGTTCAACTCTAGCCTTGGGAAAATTTCTCTAACTTTGCTTTTGCTTCTTATGATCCTTGGTATTGTACAAAAGACTAACAAATTTTGGTTCAAGAAGGAAAAAAAAAGATTGATAAAAGATGACTTTGGAAGGCCTATATAAGAAGACTTTCTTAGTCAATCTCTAACTCTAAATAAAAAGTTAAGGATAATTGAAAAGTGTCAAATCAATTATTCAAAGAATGAGATGAAAAAAGCCTTAGAGTATTTATGATTAATCTAAGACATGATTATAAGCAAACACATGGAAGTTGCATTGCAAGGCTTCATAACTTAATTTAGATTACTTTACGTCCTTTCTTCTAACAATTCCTCTAATAAGTAATAATAAGGACAATCTTTCTCTCTCTCTTAAATTAAATCTAACTAAGTAGTAGAGAGATTGAATGCGGTGTAAATCACAAGCCTCACATGATCATCCATGCATTACCTTTAAGATTATTCAATCTTATAAAATTAATATCTAATAATTTTATTTTTTTTACAAAATATTATAAAGTTAATTTACTTAATAAAAATCTTTAAATTAACAATTAAATTAGTCAAATTTTATAATCTATAAAATTTAATTAATTAAATATGCAAGATTTATGTATGTTTGCGCGCGTGTGTAGTGGTTTTACTAAAATAATAATGACTCTATTTTTAAAATTATGTAAACTTAATTTATCATCAAAAATTTTTTATAATAAATTATTTAAAAAATTTATTTAAAATTTGCTGAATGATATTCACCCTTACAACAGCAGGTACTCCTAAAAGGAGAAAAAAGAGCGAGATAATTGATTATTTATATTTAAAGACATATTAGAAGAAGAAATACAATGATAAATTAATTAAAAAAAAGCTAAAATCAATACCAGCTTTGTGCAGAGAATCAATAAAACTCCAGCTTAAATTATTATGTAATTATGTAAATTTAATTTTTAAAATAAACAATACTACATTTTTCTAAATTAATTATGAATCTATTTAAAAAATTATGTAAACAATATTTTATCAAATTTTTTTCTAAAAATTTTTAATTCTATTTTTTTACTAAAACTTTTTATAAATTGAAATAATTAAATTATATTTTATTCAAACTTAACTTAAAAAATAAATTTTTTTCTTTAAACTTTTACACATTATAAAATTCTATAATTTTTATCATGTGTTATTTTTTTAAAACCTTTTAAAATTGCTTTTATTTATATTCTGTGAAAAAATATTTAAAATTTAAATAAAATTTTAAGGAATTTAAAGTGTGCTTGATATTTTTTTTTAAAATAATTTTCTGTTTTTAAAAATAAAATATAGTATAAATTTATATTACATTTTATTTTTAAAAACAGAAAATTGTTATTAAAAATGAAAAATCAAACATACTCTAAATTTGCATAATTTTAAAAATAAAAAAACTTAATTAGTTAAAAAATAAAATAAAGTCACACGTAACTCAAATTATAATTAAAACAAGATTTATGTAACATTTTTACTATGCAAATTTTAAGCTTTTCTCATGAAAAATATTTTATTTTATCTAATAATTACGCATTTTTTAATTTAATAAATGAATATAGATAAAAATTAGTTAATTTAGCATATACTTATTTTATTTTATGTGTTTAACACCTGAGTGAAAATATATTAAATAGACACTTATTAAAATTTTTAATTTCTTAATATGTAAAATATAGACATTTCTGTTTTAAATGTAAGAAATATTTTAAAAAAATTTTATTTTTATTTTTTGCAAATATTTATTTATTTCTTTTCCTTTTATAAACTTGAAATATAAAATAAAAAAAATCATATGAGTAAAGGTGATTGAATTTCATTAATAACAACACTTTAAATATAATGTCATAAATAGTTTATATCTATTTGTGAAGAAATTATTTTTTATTATAATTACACTTATATCTTATGTTTTAATTTTTACAATAATATAATTTTATTAAATATAAATTGTATAATTTAATAAATTTTATATTTTAAACTTTATTTTATTTTACGATACTTGATTTATTGCATATATTAATTTTCCAAGAAAGGGAAAGTAGTTTTTTTGCATTAAATCATATTCTAATTATTTATTATAAGGAGATGACATATAACCTAACTGGGCCGGGTTGGGTTGGCTTACGAATTGCACTTCTTCAACCTAAAACCTCATTCCATCTTGAACTCAGGAGCTATCCGTCGCTCTGCAATCACACCTATCAAATTTCAGGGTGAGTCACTTCTTCATACCTAAGTTTCTTTCAATCATCTTTTCTCTGGTTTGAAATTTAACGCATGCAATGCTTGTTGTTTGATTTCGTTTCATAACCCCTTTTCTATTCAGTGACGATGGTTCAATATAACTTCAAGAAGATCACTGTGGTGCCTAATGGAAAGGACTTCGTTGACATAATCCTCTCTCGCACGCAGCGTCAGACACCAACTGTTGTTCACAAAGGGTATGCAATTTCACGCCTTCGCCAATTCTACATGCGCAAAGTCAAGTACACTCAGCAGAATTTTCATGAAAAGTTGTCTACCATTATTGATGAGTTTCCTCGCCTCGATGATATTCACCCTTTCTATGGCGATCTCTTACACGTACTCTACAACAAAGACCATTACAAGCTTGCTCTTGGACAAATCAACACTGCCAGGAACCTTATTGGTAAGATTGCTAAAGATTATGTCAAATTATTAAAGTATGGCGATTCCTTGTATCGATGTAAGTGTTTGAAGGTGGCTGCTCTTGGCCGCATGTGTACTGTGATTAAGAGGATTGGCCCTAGTTTAGCTTATTTAGAACAGGTTAGACAACACATGGCTAGGCTTCCATCCATAGATCCTAATACAAGGACTATTTTGATATGTGGGTATCCTAATGTTGGCAAGAGCTCTTTCATTAACAAAATTACTAGGGCTGATGTGGATGTGCAGCCCTATGCTTTCACTACCAAGTCCCTCTTTGTAGGTCATACGGAC